ACCTATGTTGAAAATACTGTACTTACATTAACAGTATCATAGCTATGTTGGCAGTATTGTACCTATGTTGAAAATACTGTACTTACATTAACAGTATCATAGCTATGTTGGCAGTATTGTACCTATGTTGAAAATACTGTACTTACATTAACAGTATCATAGCTATGTTGGCAGTACTGTTGCTATGTTGAAAATACTGTACTTACATTAACAGTATCATAGCTATGTTGGCAGTACTGGTGCTATGTTGAAAATACTGTGCTTACATTAACAGTATCATAGCTATGTTGGCAGTACTGTTGCTATGTTGAAAATACTGTACTTACATTAACAGTATCATAGCTGTATCAATTTTGAGCCAATTTTTCACATACTTTTACTGTTATCAATTCAAAATGAAATAATTTTGTTATTACATCAGTTTCCAACCCATCCTTATTAACTTCACTTTTTCTTTTGAACTAAATTAAGTAAAAGATATTTAGTTGGGATAGAAGTACTCGCATGTAATACTTCATATATCTTTCAACCTTCAGTGCATTAAAACTCTTGAGTCCTAATACTCAATTTCAATATTTGATTACAATAGAAATAACATTAAGGCTTTACTAAAGAATGAGGGGGGGGGGGGTAAAACAAGTAAAATTAATATGAAGGCTCTATAAATGGAGGGGGGATAAAACAATAAAAATAATATGAAGGATCTATAGATGGAGAAGGTTAAAGCAATAGAAACAATATTAAGGCTTTAATAGAAGGAGGGATAAAATCTGACAATATCTATATTTGCTGTAAGAGTAAAAAAAGAATAATAAGTTTTAAGTAAATACATATATTCGTTAAACAGGCTGCGTACATTGTGCTCATGTAATTCAGGTAATAATACCACTTTCCTTAAGTACATCCTTCAATAACTTACCTTTCTTCCCAATATCTGGTTAATAGCTGCACTTTCTTTCAAGGTACATTCTCCTACAACTTACTTTAAAGGTACATTCTGCTACAACTTACCCTTCTTCCCAATATCTGGTTAATGGCTGCACTTTCTTTCAAGGTACATCCTCCCACAACTTACCCTTCTTCCCAATATCTGGTTAATAGTTGCACTTTCTTTCAAGGTACATTCTGCTACAACCTACCCTTCTTCCCAATATCTGGTTAATAGCTGCACTTTCTTTCAAGGTACATTCTGCTACAACTTACCCTTCTTCCCAATATCTGGTTAATAACTGCACTTTCTTTAAAGGTACATTCTCCTACAACTTACCCTTCTTCCCAATATCTGGTTAATAGCTGCACTTTCTTTCAAGGTACATTCTGCTACAACTTACCCTTCTTCCCAATATCTGGTTAATAGCTGCACTTTCTTTCAAGGTACATTCTCCTACAACTTACCCTTCTTCCCAATATCTGGTTAATAGCTGCACTTTCTTTCAAGGTACATTCTCCTACAACTTACCCTTCTTCCCAATATCTGGTTAATAGCTGCACTTTCTTTCAAGGTACATTCTGCTACAACTTTGGCACGCATCTCCTTCATGTATAACATGAAGGCATTAAGGGGCTTTTTGATATGGGGAGGTTTCTTTTTGTCAATGTGGTGGGTTTGTTGGGAGCTTACTGTGCTACTGCTGTGAGGACTGGGTCCATTGGTCTCATTCCCTCTTAGTGTTTGGGGTTTCTGATCCATCAGATAACCTGGCAAATGTCTGGAAAACAGTAATATAATCCACTCAAAGACAAAAATTAATATTTCTTAACTCTCATACACTTTTAAAGAATTTGTAAACACTGTTTTGCTAGTGAACTTGTTGGGAGTTTAGGTATAATAATTAATAATCACACGACAACTTACTTGCTCAAAATAAATCCAGAAGGTGTTAAGCAAGGTTTAAGTTTCTGTTTTCATAATAACTAAAAGTTTCATAATCTAAAAATGAATTAACGTGTTCTTGTGAATGTGACTTATTTCAACAGTACTTTGTAGCAGTGATGAATATATATGTTCATCACTGTAATTATAAAACAATATCAATATCCTAAACACACATACATCAATGATATATTTTATAAACAACCATCATAATCATGTAGACATGGATTATAATATTATATGTAGAAACATACAGTCCTTTCTATAAATTCTTCAGCTTCTAAAAAAGATGTCAGTAAAGACTACTTGACATGTTGTAGAAACATCTTCAGATAATCTTTAGGTTTAAAAAGCATGCTGAATATGTCAGTAAAGACTACTTTACTTAAAAGTTCTAGAAAATTCTTCAGATGACCTCTAGGCATAAAGAACCCTGCTGAATATGTCAGTAACGATAACTTTACTTAAAGATTCTAGAAAGTTCCTTCTTTGATTCTGTCAACAACTAAGCCAGATATTGCTGGTTACATCCTACTTCTCATTTTGACACCTACTTTCTGCTTTATGCTTAGAGACCATACTGGATATGTCAAAACATTAACGAAAGTTTCTGCTATTTGAACAGAATTCATGAAATACTACCTTTACCTTCTACTTTAGAGGCTACATACAGAACTAGTTAATTAGAATTGGATTTAGTTCCTTACCTGCTGTTCTCCAAGACGGGGCTTTGCAATTCCTGCTTACGCCCAGCAGACATTAGAGCTGGGTGTAGAAGTCCTGGATGAGGGGTTAACCCTGGAGGAGGAGGTAACAAGGTTGGAGGACTGAACCTAGGAAGAGCACCAGATGGCAGTGTTGTAGGGTATGGTCCACAGAAACCAGTCGACGTCATTGGGTACATGGTTGGAGTGTGCCTAAGAAAAGAATAATAATTACTTTTAAATATGAAATGTAAGATACCAACATATATTTATCTTGAAGTTGGTGTCTAGTTTATCACTTATCTTTACTATTACCAAGTTTGTTTTACTGAACTCAAAATACAAGTCACTCACTTTTTCACAACTAAGCCAGTCTACATATTGTTTTTAATTAGCCAAAAATGTCTAAATATTATAATGTTATTACTTAGAGTATTACTTTTACAACTCCGCAATGCATTTTCTTCAAACTTATTGGAAACATTGAGAATTAGGCACAGGTTCAAAGTACAGAAATGAATAAAACACAAGGTAGTGTAATTTGGTTTTTCAGAAGTGTAGCAATGAAAGCTAAGTGTAATTTTCTGACTGATATAAAACTATAAAATATAGTTCTTCATTTATATCTTGGGTTGTTTCTCTTCTGTTTGTATTCAGATTTTTCTGTTTAAACGTTTTAAACTGCTGTTGAACAACACAAAATGTTATTGTAAAGAATGAAGTTACATTCTTGAAACATCAGCTAATCATAATACCTATTTTGTATGGAGAACAAAACAAACTTGAAAACTTTAAGTTACAAGAGTTAAACTGGGGGAGTTGAAGTTTAACAATTATATATAAAACATGTACCTAAAGTTCTTTATTTAGTACTTTTTAGACCAAAACATGTGGAATTCCTATCAGCATCTCGTCTTCACTGCAGATATAGAATTCTACTTACACTTCTATTTGAACTTATGGCAAAGTACTACAGCTATCTGACACCATCCCTAATTTTGAAGTCAGTGGTGTCATTTCAGCAAGATCTTCTACAAAATACATGAGCTGTTGATGACATAGCACGATTATACATAAACTGTAATAGCTACATGAAACTTAGTGTGTTATGAGGAACAAAAGAAAAACATAAGATTTTGACTTTCTGCTTTGTATGCATTAATATTAGGAAGTTACTATAAACATTACCCATTAAACAAGCATTTTGCATTTTTCAAGAAACAAAATTAAGGCTTGAGTGAGGTGGCTGCACTCCTCCCAAATTGGACTACTGATCAAATGGAGGGCAGTTATACTAAGGAATTGATGAACACCCTTATCAGGCATCCAGAGCTTAAAGTGTGTGGAATATTGTGTAATGTTGGTGGATTCAAACCTGGTTAACCAGCTGCAAAATCCAGAGCTTAAAGTGTGGGGAATATTGTGTAATGTTGGTAGATTCAAACCTGGTTAACCAGCTGCAAAATCCAGAGCTCTGCCACATTTAATTTATACGAAACTCTGTATAATCTTTGTTGACAAGTAACTGATACTTTTAGATAATTATGTTTAAGTTAGGTGGTGAATAACATGACACAAAATAGCTAATATTTTGCCATGACTGAACTCAACAACTAGAAGTATTAAGGGTTAGTACTGGATGGGAGATGAAACAAAACAAAAAGTTACATTTATGAAATATTTCAAAACTTCAAAGTACTGTTTTTGTGTTTATCATAAAGGAATTTTCTGCATATCTTCCACTCCTAATTTTAAGTTGTATATTGTCAAGTAATATGGATGTGGGGAAGCATTCGGCAGTAGATTATAGGGTTTACGGGAATTACGGTCTGATCGGGAATGTTTCGGACAAATGCTACATCCTCTTCAAGAAGATAGTCACTCTGCCATTGGTTTGTTTTCACCCGACACAATCATGAGATGGAGATAGGTGACTTATCTTTTGTCAGAGACAAGACAGAACAAGTGACCAACCAGTTTACTTTGTATGTTCATTAACTCCACCAGTGGACAACAACTCACAGAGGCACTTACTGGACATATTGGTGCTCCCATGCCCAATGGCTTGTAAGTTTGTGACAGGGGCTGCACCTTTGGAGAAAAAATATGCAAGGTGTTATAAAGTGACCACCTCCCTGCTTAGACTACCAAGGGTAGAGTGGGGGGTTAGTTATACAAGCTGACATGTGGGCGTGGCTTTTTTTAATAGGTCCAAGAGGTAACGCTAATATCTTTACAAAACTAGATGTTGAAAAATATACAGTACCTGTGGCGAGGTATATATTTTATTATGTTTACTTTTATAAATCCTTTTTTTTTTTTATGAACGTAAAAATTTCTTGGTGGTCAGATTGCCCATTAAAGTATGTTGACTGAAAATTTAATTAACATAAGATGAAAAGTTTTTTTAATGTCGCTACTTCTAATCAACATTTAGTTAGGGTAGTAAAAACTGACAAAAGAAAAAAAACGAAAACAAAAGTTTAACAAAAATCGACATAAACTTTCACTTAGCATATGCTTACAAAACAGGTATATCAAAAGCCACGCCAAATAAATAATTCCATGTAAAACATAATAATATTAAAAAAAAACAATTCCCACTCGAAACCTCGTATTTAGCAGCAGAAATTTATATATATATATGTTATAAAAATAACAAAAAGTTCAATTTTAATCAACTAAGGTAATAACATGAACAATGCATATTACACGTGAACAACTCGAAATAGCCATTAAATACAGAAACGGGGTTACCTATATTTTATGCCCAAACTTACCACTGAAACTGTTGTGTGAATTCTGGACTAAAGACAGGGTGTGGGTACTGGCCTGGGGTGGGTAACGGGTAGACAGGAGCTCGTGGAATCCCTGGAAGTAAAGTAAAAATGCTAAGTCTTTCCGGAAGTAACAACTAAAGGAGTCGAAATAGTTACACAAATTTCTTTTCGGGCAAATTGATAAAAATGAAAATAATAGTAGAGGTCACTGTATTTCCGTAGATGAAACTATCTCGAAACACTACAGTTTCATTTTTGAAATTAAGAATATGTAAAAAAATACTTCAAAAACTGTAGTTGGATGATTTGCATCTTTTTAAATTCTTACTGAGTAGCACATTTATACATCCATAAATTTGTGGTTACTTGACCCGGTCCAGAGTCCAAGATGGTTGGACAGTTCTCAATAATAAGTGAGTTAAATGATGTTGTTAAATTGAATAGATCATGAAGTGTTAGAAAGTCCTTACACTGATTCTGATGTCACATTGGTGAAAAATTACAATTTACCAATTCATTTGATGACGAGGAACCTACTTCTAGATAAGAAAATTTGGAGACGGCTTGAATGGGTAACAAATGTAAAACGTTTCTATATGGTTTTCTCCATTACTAATTCAAACTGATATCAAACTTTATCATCAATTTGTTTGTTTTTGTTATTAAGTGCAAAGGTGCACTACGCTATCTGTGCTGTACCCACTGCGAGTATTTTACTTTTAACGTTATAAGCCCTTGTACTTAACACTAAGTTACTGGGATGTAACAACTTTTAGAAGTTTATGTTACCAATACACCCTGCTAGGTTTAACGAGTTTCATTCTATTGTTGATTTATCTGCTAGGGTTAACGAGTTTAATTCTATTGTTGTTATTGTTAATTTATCTGCTAGGGTTAACGTGTTTCATTATATTGTTGATTTATCTGCTACGGTTAACAAGTTTAATCTTATTGTTGATATTGTTAATTTATCTGCTAGGGTTAACGAGTTACATTCTGTTGTTGATGTTAATTTATCTGCTAGGGTTAACGAGTTTCATTATATTGTTAATATTGTTAATTTATCTGCTAGGGTTAATGAGTTTCATTCTATTGTTGATGTTAATTTATCTGCTAGGGTTAACGAGTTTCATTATATTGTTGATATTGTTAATTTATCTGCTAGGGTTAACGAGTTTCATTCTATTGTTGATGTTAATTTATCTGCTAGGGTTAACGAGTTTCATTATATTGTTGATGTTGTTGATTTATCTGCTAGGTTTAACGAGTTTCATTCTATTGTTGGTATTGTTAATTTATCTGCTAGGGTTAATGAGTTTCATTCTATTGTTGATGTTAATTTATCTGCTAGGGTTAACGAGTTTCATTATATTGTTGATATTGTTAATTTATCTGCTAGGGTTAACGAGTTTCATTCTATTGTTGATGTTAATTTATCTGCTAGGGTTAACAAGTTTCATTCTATTGTTGATGTTAATATATCTGCTAGGGTTAACGAGTTTCATTCTATTGTTGATGTTGTTGATTTATCTGCTAGGTTTAACGAGTTTAATTCTATTGTTGGTATTGTTAATGTATCTGCTAGGGTTAATGAGTTTCATTCTATTGTTGATACTGTCCCATGTAATAGCTTAATCGTGTCTTTTCTACGTAGTTCGTTAGTTTTCACTTACTTTTTTCTGATAGTTAATGTTGTATGATTGTAAGACTTTCAGAATAAAGTTCTGTGATAATAAGATTATCCAAACTTAAGTTTAATCAGGCTTTCCTTGATAACACCTATTATTGCCACAGTTTAATCAGGCTTTCCTTGATAACACCTATTGTTGCCACAGTTTAATCAGGCTTTCCTTGATAACATCTATTGCTACAGTTTAATTTGGCTTTCCTTGATAACATCTATTGCCACAGTTTAATCAGGCTTTCCTTGATAATATTTATTGTCGTTAAAAGTGTCGATGGCTAGAAACAAATATTGCCATTAATCAGGACCTACTTGTAATTGTTTATAACTGACTGATTCAACAGGAACAACTGTAATTGTTTATAACTGAATGATTCAACAGGAACAACTGTAATTGTTTATAACTGACTGATTCAACAGGCACAACTGTCATTGTTTATAACTGACTGATTCAACAGGAACAACTGTCATTGTTTATAACTGACTGATTCAACAGGAACAACTGTCATTGTTTATAACTGACTGATTCAACAGGAACAACTGTCATTGTTTATAACTGACTGATTCAACAGGAACAACTGTAACTGGTTATAACTGACTGATTCAACAAGAACAACTGTAACTGGTTATAACTGACTGATTCAACAGGAACAACTATAATTGTTTATAACTGACTGATTCAACAGGAACAACTATAATTGTTTATAACTGACTCATTGAACAGGAACAACAGTAATTGTTTATAACTGACTGATTCAACAGGAACAACAGTAATTGTTTATAACTGACTGATTCAACAGGAACAACTGTCATTGTTTATAACTGACTGATTCAACAGGAACAACAGTAATTGTTTATAACTGATTGATTTAACAGGAACAACTGTAACTGTTTATAGCTGACTGGATAATCAGAATTCTAACTTATGTTGCTTACACTTCATCAACAATATGTTAGCTGACATAAAGTCATTAAAGTGTATAACACACTACACCAATGATATGTCACCTGACATAAAGTCATTAAAATGTGTGATAACACACTACATCAACAATATGTTAGCTGACATAAAGTCATTAAAATGTATGATAACACACTACATCAACAATATGTTAGCTGACATAAAGTCATTAAAATGTATGATAACACACTCCACCAACAATATTTCAGGTGACAAACTAAAACCTTGGAAGACTATGAGGTGAATTGTTTACTTTAAAATCCAAAAATATGCTAACTGGAGAAGGGTTATAAAGTGTTAACCGAAGCATAACATCTGTATCCTAATCGGAGGACCACAGATTACAGGATAACTGGATAGCTCACACACTAAATATCTGCTTCCTAATTGGAGGACCACATTAAAATGGGATAACTCACACACTAAATATCTGCCTCCTAATCGGAAGACCACAGATTATGGGATAACTCACACACTAAATATCTTCCTCCTAATTGGAGGACCACATTAAAATGGGATAACTCACACACTAAATATCTGCCTCCTAATCGGAAGACCACAGATTATGGGATAACTCACACACTAAATATCTTCCTCCTAATTGGAGGACCACATTAAAATGGGATAACTCACACACTAAATATCTTCCTCCTAATCGGAGGAGCACATTAAAATGGGATAACTCACATACTGAATATCTGCCTCCTAATCGGAGGACCACAGATTATGGGATAACTCACACACTGAATATCTGCCTCCTAATCGGAGGACCACATTAAAATGGGATAACTCATGCACTTGATACATGTTATTAGTGATCAGTTTGTGTAAAAATCTGTTTATCTCACTATAGTATACAATGAAAGTAATAAAACCATAAATGTTGTCATATGAAGTACAAAAATGTGTATTAAGACTAATAAAACCATGACTTAACTATTAGATGAGGAATATATTAGGAGCAAAAGAAAACAAAGTAACATACAGTGGGTAATAACTAAGGTTTACCTGTCTTGGGATCTATGTGTACAGGTGGAATTCCCATATGTGCTGGAGGAGGTTGTGCGAATGCGTCGCTGTTGTACATCATGAAGGGGAGAGGAGATCCTGGGTGACTCGGTGGCACCATGGTAACCTTTCCGGCCTGTTAAGATGAGAGAAAATAAAAGTGAGCATTCTTAGGATGTGTTTTATAAATATCATTATTTGGAGCAAACATGTTAATCAAAGCTATCCACTATCACTCTGTAAGTAAAATAACCAAGTTAATCAAAGCTATCCACTATCACTCTGTAAATAACGATTAACCAAGTTAATTAAAGCTATCCACTATCACTCTGTAAGTAAAATAACCAAGTTAATCAAAGCTATCCACTATCACTTTGTAAATAACGATTAACCAAGTTAATTAAAGCTATCCACTATCACTCTGTAAGTAAAATAACCAAGTTAATCAAAGCTATCCACTAACACTCTGTAAGTAAAATAACCAAGTTAATCAAAGCTATCCACTATCACTCTGTAAGTAACGATTAACCAAGTTAATTAAAGCTATCCACTATCACTCTGTAAGTAACGATTAACCAAGTTAATCAAACCTATCCACTATAACTCTGTAAGTAACGATTCACCAAGTTAATCAAAGCTATCCACTATAACTCTGTAAGTAACGATTAACCTTCCGATTCACCTGTCAGGTATGTTAACGGTTCATAAGGCCACAAGTATATCGAAACTATCAAAAACTAAAATTCCAGTGCTAACTTGAAAATGTGTATTTCAAATCGTCACAAATATTATATATGTAGCTAAATAAACACACGAAGAATCCATTACGTATAATTTAAATAAAATCTAACGACTCATCGCTTGTTTTTATATATTTGTGGAAAGAATTGATAAGTCAACTACTTTCTGATGTTATGACTTTTTTTGTTATTAGTTTCCTATTTCTCAGTTTAAAAATTCAGAAGCACTTACATACAGTTTCACTACATAGTACAACAACAGAGTATTTACGATTAATAGTACTGTGTCTCATTGAAATTCGGTGGAAAACAATCTTTTGATCTTTCCGACATTTCTGTTTAGTAGGAGCGGATTCGAGGCAGGGTCGGAAAACACGAATCGGTTTTCAATTCCCACAAGTAAGATCTGAAGCTTTACGTCTTGTCTCTCATTATGCTATGATAATTATAGCTTTATTTTAACATCGCACACTTTCGGAATCGCGCGTCACGTGACAGCCTCCAAAAGAGACCGGTCCATCTGATCTTAACGGCATTATGGAAAATAAGATGAAGGCATAGATGAGGGCTTTAATTGATTTAAACAAACGCATAGTTGTTAGTGTACGGTTAAAAGTACAACACTGTTGTTTTATTCACCAGTTTCTGGCTGGGTAGAACGAAGGTAGAATCTATATATTATACTAAAAAATGCGCCACCTACTTACAGAGTTATTAATTTCATTCCACGAGGTATTTATCACGCGCTACACACTATGTAAAGTAGACATTAACACACAATTCTCACGTAAACGGAGAAGCGGGGAATTCTAACCCTACTGTTCTCTCACTCTTTTACAGATTTAGAAACTGCTGGATTTATATATGTATGTATATGTATTTACGGAATGTTAAACAAGGGTGCGCTAGTCGTTTTTAATTTTGAGATGATAGCTTGGAGGGAAAGAAGCTAGTCAAGAGTACCCACCGCCAACTTTTGGGCTACTCCTGCCTGATCAAATTGAGGGATTTACGAGCAACGGGACGCAAACCATGGACACTGGGATTCGCTGTCCGGCACGCTGTCAACTAGCCCATACTCAGCTCTTCAGGGTAGTAAAATAGAGTTTTAATTCGTAGATATTTCGCGAAAAAACATGTATTTAGTAATAAAATATACATTTGAGTAGTTCAGAACTCCATGAACGAAATATTTAAGTAGTTAAAAGAAACATTCGAGTATACATTCACCTCTCTGGTTTTTTTCCGGATTTTTACCGACGAGTTAGTTATGTTGAAGAATGTACTGAAAACAACTTTCTCTTCACACATAAACCAGTTAGAAATGTGTAAGTTTTTACACTGAGAATAAAAAAACAAACAAACTAATATGTATGTACTTAGAGGGAACAACTTATCGTGGTTATTTCAACAGTACCATATGTACGAAGACTGACCCAGTTTAGTCCAAGAATTAGTAACGAGATCAACCCTTTACCAGTTCTGGTGTATCGAAATACTAGCACAAAAAATTAGCTTAAAGTTTATCGAAACTGAAAACTATAAAGGACAAGTTCAGGTAATGTAGCAGCTATTAAACGCCTCTACGGTACGTACGAGCAGACTTTGTTTTACTACATTAACGCTGGTATTATAAAGGACAAGTTCAGGTAATGTAGCAGCTATTAAACGCCTCTACGGTACGTACGAGCAGACTTTGTTTTACTACATTAACGCTGGTATTATAAAGGACAAGCTCAGGTAATACTGCACGTAACAGCTGTTATTGACTTCTATATGTTACTTGTAGCAGCTGTACTACTGGCTTCTATGCGTTACACGTAACAGCTGCTATTGGCTTCTATATGTTACACGTAACATCTGTTATTGACTTCTATATGTTACACGTAACATCTGTTAATGGCTTCTATATGTTACACGTAACAGCTGTTAAAGGCTTCTATATGTTACAGCTGTTACATAAGAAACTACTGTGTATCAACGTCAATATAGTACATAGAACTGTTACAAAATTTCTATTCATACTGAACTTACTGTTATAATGAATCTCAAATATTTAAGATTTTTTTTTCACTGAATGCAAACAGATCAATAGACGATCTGTACCGGAGTAATTGATATAACTTCCATGCGGGTCTTGAATCTTTACTTAGGTAGCATACATAACTCTTCGAAACACCACAAAAAGCCGTTTCAGCCCTTTTCCCTCTAGAACTTATTATCCTTGCAGGCTCATTAAAACCCATCCATCCCGGAACCAGGCAGGCCGCACTAATTGATTATTCCAGCTATCCTCTAGTCATCCTTCTGGAAACACAGCGTCGAGAGGCTCTTGTACTGAACAAGTGGGTTTGTTACTATCCCTAATCTTGTTCAAGAGATTGATCTTTAAAATTTCTGTCGATAAAGCAAGGTTAAAAGACTTCTCATCAAATAACGAGTAACGTGTATACTGAAATAATGAATACGTATTACTGAAATGTTAGTCTACAGTACAGAATAAAACCGTACGCTCAAAGGCTTTCTGAGATTTTAAAATGAAAGAACGCGGACTTTTCTTCACTAATCTCATTCTTGTATACAAGTCATTACCACAAAACACTCAATTCAAAAACTGCCTAGTGAAACAAAGTGTATCACTTCTGAGTAATGGAAGTGGTGCTTCAATTTTCCATCGTGACTTGTATAAACAGAGATCTCAGCGCACTACCCAACGCTAGGCAAACAAGCTGGCTGAAGGACCCTTTTAAACTGAAATTTATCGTAAATAATGCATGTTCATCCCTATCTCGACCTTATCGCGAACAAGACCAATCTATATCGTCATCCTTTAGTTTCCTCCTGCACAGGACGTACAAACACAGCTGTCTTAATGCAATCAGCTTCTATTTATACACACAACGAATAAAAAGTTCGTACCAGTTACGCTGACTAGTTCGTATATCGAGAGGCTGTCAAATAAACGTTGTGTATTATTACAATGTTAAGGTGTGCTGGAATGAAAACACTCCACGAGACTTGTTGGTCTAGTTAGTTAAAGTAATTCATTAAAATAAGGTAGTTACTGAACTAGAAAGCATTTTAATGGGATTCATAAAAAAAAACAACAAAGAAATAATTATCGTATAAAAAATTAACTTTACTATAAATCCCATGTATAAACTTGACAGTTGAAGTTTAATATTACTTCAATATATTTTATTGTACAACTAAACATAATTATTAGTCCTAACAACAGGAGTTATCGGAAATACTTGTTCTCTTACTGTACACTATGTATACATGACGTGTGATATGAAACGTATTGATAGACTGTGTTAATACGGTGTCAACCTTATCGTTATTCATTTTGCGGAAGTCTTTGTTCAATGTATACTTGGCGGTATTTAATGAGAAGGTAACCTGGAGTTGGGGGACGAGGTGTGGATGGACAACCCTGTAATTCAACGACGTGAACCGATAGAACTCCCGCGTTTTGTCTAACTTCCACCAGTTAGAAATTCGCAGAAATTTGACAAAGACTAATAGAACTAAGACTGGATAAATATAAGGGTGTGGGATGTTGCAAACAAACGTACAGTGCACGTACACATTCATGTTCTGTCAAGTAGGGGGTTCATTAAATCAGGGCCTCGAGCGGCGGAAACCAACAGTGGTATGGTAGTTCTATGAAAAAGGAACCAATCCCAGTGTCTTTTAGGAAAGCAATATTTAATTTATCCGTGCTTGAGGGTTAAAAGTATGCTTTTTACCTAAAGGCATGACTTACTGAACGAACGTTTTCAGGTGAATACAGGGTTTTATGAACGTCAAGCCTATATGAAACTATAAGAAACATTCTCTTCAATTAAAACACAAACATCACTCTGAAAAAACAAAAAAAAACTGAGTTGTAACATTAAGTCTCAACTGGGATTATAAACTTTATTATACCGTGGGCTCCATATATTTTACGTTTCTGCCTGTTATAAAACTGAATCAATGTAAAGAGCTGACCCATATTTGGATAAAATCACCCATTTCAGGGGTATTAAATTAAACCAACATTTTTTTTATGTTATTAGAGATCCCGTAGCTAACAAAGTCATAATCTATAAGCAATTTAGTGCATAAGTAGTTTTATAAAATGTCTTTATAAAAGTCGAATAATATAGGTTATTCTTGGGTTAAAGGTATATTTAGAAATAGTAGCATGACTGTTGGGGGCAAGAATAAAGAAATGTGACGTTTTGTTTTGGTGCTATAAACAAAAATGAGTATCCTACCATTAAAAAACGTGCCAACGTTCCAGAAGAATTACCTTGAAACGATTGGTGTATATAACACGAGCAAGAGGAAAATATTCTCTCAAAGTTATAGTTTATTGTTCAAGTTTCTTACAATATTGTTAACTCCC